GATCTAGTTTAGTTTAGCTCATGGGTAAAAAAATAAAACTTTGAAGATAACGAACTGAACTAGAGTCTAACATTTACAGCTGTGTATATGGAGTCTATTGAAACACTGTTTCCCCCCAAAAATTATCCCCATTTTTATCAGAGAGTATTTTATCAAGTTTAGTTTTAATTTGGCCTGATTATTTGCATGAACACAATAAGAATAGCAATTGATTATCTAAGCTTTTTCAGGTTTACTTTGCTGGAATTTCACTTACAAGGAATATTCAGATTGAGCTTCAGTCAGCCCTTCAGGGCACAGAAACCAAGTCACATAATTGCCATCTGGCTTTGCCTGTAGCTGCTAGGGACCCTATCTGTGCAGGAATTTCATGCACTGGGCCTCTAGTGGTGTTATAATTATGGGAGCCATTCTGGGGCCAGTTCTCCCGATTATCTAGTTTATATTGTGGTCATGCTGTATTGCAATAGAAAATGAGGCATTTGGTTCTAATTTCACCTGGTAAATCAAGGGTCTTAAGATTCTTTAAAACGCAGGCCAGAGGTGAGATCTTGGGAGGGGTTGAGGTTGAGCTGCCGGTGGCATCACTATGAAAGGGCGACTGCAGGAGGGAGAGTCACAGCCTAGTGGGAGGGAGAAACCCATGGCTGGCATCCCAGCCTGGGTGCTCCTCTTTCCATGTGCTGATACCAATTCTAGGAGGTGTCCCCACTAGAACGATTCAGGTAGGGAACCCGACCCCCATGGCTAGGGATAAATAGGAGCATCCTTGCTACTTAGTCCCTAGTATGGGACTGGTCAGGACCCAGCACTGGGATCTGCCAGTGAAACCCTAATGTGTCACAACCAGTGGATGAGCGAGCTTCTCCCCCTGAAATGCCTGAATTGGCAATGCCGAGACTCACAGTCCCCGAAATAAAACCCTACAGCATGTTATGGGCTAGGGTTTGAAACTGGTGGGCTGCCTAGTGCAATCTTGCCTGTTCCGAGTTCGGTTTATCCTGTCATGGAGTCTTTGAGGGGCAGCCACCTTAGTGGCTTTTAAGTGACTGAAGCATGCCCGCAAGTGGTGGCCCCAGGGGAGCTGAGAGTCTTGGTCCCTAGTGCCCTCTTCCCAGAAATGAAGTGACTCCCCCATTAATAGGAATCAGGAGGTCTGATCATCTGGCTCTCCTGCTGCCACTCAGGAGTCCAGAAGGACTTGGTGGGTCCTGAACCCCAAGACTAAGAGTCTCAGAGGTCAGGGGTGGGGAGAGAAGGAGAAGAAGTGGCAGCTTCTCTTCTGGATGGGCCACCAAATGAAAGGCTGAAGTCGGTGGTGCGGGGCAGGCTAGCCATCTCAGATGGTGAATAAAGAAAAATTGGATTTATTTAAGGAAAAGGGGTTGGGGATGGGTATATCCAAAGGAAAGGGCTACACAGCACTGAGCAAAGGGTAGAGGGTCTATGCTGGCAGCAAAAACACACTGAGGACAGTAACCAAGTAATGGCATAGGAGCGGGAACGTTCCATGGACAAGGGAGGAATGTGGGGCCTCCACTTGCCAGCGGCCAGCTCCAGGGTGAGCTGGTGGCCATATCTTCTGATGACTTTTCCTAATAGTGTCTGGTCATTACTCTGTAATGAGTCAAACTTTGGCTAAATGAAACACTGTTAAATAACTTCATTTTTAATAGAAGAATTCACCTACTTCAATATGCTATACTTTTAATATTAAACTTACATTAAAAATTATGAGGAGGCAATATGCATATATATTAGTGTTGTGCTTATTTTTGCATTCTCCAAAATTTCAAAAGATCAAACTCTTACTACCTAGAAGGGCTCATACGATTAGTCTCTTTTTACATGATAATATAATAATGTATATTCTCTTCCTTTGAGGTTTATTATAAACTAGTGGCCCTGCTGGGGTCCCTCAGCCCAGCCTGTGCCCTCTCGCAGTCTGGGACCCCTCAGGAGATAACGACCTGCTGGCTTAGCTCTCTGCCACTCATAGCTCGCTGCCCCGCTCTCCCGTGGCTCTCTGAGGCTTGTAGATCGGTTGTGACGTTAGGGTGTCCCGGCTAATTAGCATATTATATTATTATATTAGATGAAGTAGGGGTGGCTTGGTATATATTATTTCTTATAGGAAGAAGCAACAGGAGAGCCTGGGCTGGGCTGCCTTGGCTCACTAAGAAGTCAGAGAGAAGGGGGCCTTGGAGACAGGTTCAGGGGGTGAGCCCGGGATGAGCTGCCACTGCCCATCGCTCCCCTGGTTGCAATCTCATGGGGTCCCTTAGAGGTTAGGGGATACCTGTACCTTTGGGGGAAGGAGAGGCATGTTCCTTGGAGGGAGAGCACGCCCTATTGTTTACTTTTTTTAGTTCCATTTCTTTTAGGTTTTGTTATCAGGTTTGTGTAGTTTCATAAAGTGAGTTCTGCCTGTTTCTACGGTTTAGGAAAGTAAGGGTCTAAAGTGGTTCAAGATCTAAAGTGTTTGCTCTCCCTTGAACCCCTCGAAGGGTTTCCCTTACTTACCTGCTCCTTGCCTTACTTGGTGGAGGTCCGAGGTCTCTGCAAAGTGATGTTTAAACCATAAATGAACACTCAACTCAGCTGAGTTTATGTTCAACGAACAAGTCACTATCTTAATAACAATTTTGTCCCCTTCCTCCCCCATCCACATCAGCTAAAGTTATCCTCTAAGTTAAAAGCTTGCTTACCTAAGGTTCTTCTCATCTTTCATTTGTCTGGAATGCCCATCAGTTCCCCCTTATTTCCAGCTGTTGCCACTTAATCTAAAGAAAATGCAGCCTGTGGAGCTGAGATGTTTGCTTTTCTAAATACTTTCCTTATGTTAGCATATTGCTTCTCTATATGATGGTTAGAGCTTAGGCTCCGGGACTGGAAGCCTGGCTCCAGTGTACACGAGCTGACGACCTTGGCAAGGTCTTAGCTTACTCACCTGCAACACAGGGCTAATCACAGGGCCCACCTCCTGGGACTGCGGAGAGCATTACATGCCTTCATACTCGTTAAATATGTAACGTGTATTCCATGTGCTTAAAACAATGTTTGGCCCTTAGAATATCAGTTTAACACATGAACACACTTGCCTTTTAAAAGCCGAAGTGCTAGAGCGTTGGTGCTGTGCCTCGTTCCGTGCCCTTGCACATTGGTTTTCACACAGAAAGACTCCTTGCTTGTGCTGTTTCTGGTTCGGCTGCCTCCCCTCCCCTTCCACTGTCATTGGGTGCTACCTGCCTCCTGAGCTCCCTCAAACACTGGATGGCTCTCCTGAGAAGTTTGTCAAGGTCTGGGCCACTGTCCTATCCTTTTCCTCTTCCTGAAGTTCCTCCAGCCCCTTTCTCAGAGAATTTAGAATGCCTGTGCCTTTGCTGCACCTGGAAATGGTGATAAGATACCATCCCCACGGGCTAATGTCCATTCTAACATGAGCTTATGGCTTCCTTTGGCACTGGGACCAGTAGAGAGAGTGCACCCAATGTGAGGCCCACACAAAGCATACGGCCTTACTTACCCACACAGCAAATCTCCTCCCACCCATTTCACACTCTTCTAAGCCCCAGGTCCTCCTGACTAGCTCCCTTCGGAATGTTTCCATCACAAACTGAGCTTATTAAAGTGGGCTGATTGGCATCCCAGAAAACCCTGGCCTTTGTGTTCCACACCTGCACGTGGCACCGCACTCACCAGTCACCCGGGTAAGACCTGCAAGTCCACCCTGGACACCTTCCCTCACACTCTCATCAAGCGCTGGCCATAATCTCCGTTTCCATGTCCTCAGTAGCTCCGGACCCATCCTGCCTCCGGCTGCCTAACCCACTCCTAGTGCCAGGTGCTCTCATCCGCTCTTCACGCTGCTCACAGTGTGATCTTTCACAAAAGCAAACTTGACTCACTTAAAAGTCCCCAAGAGCCCCCTGCAGTTTTCGGGGGGGGAGGGGGGCAGGGGATGCAATTTCCATAATTTTGGCTCCAAAGCCCTAACTACCGATGTGGGTACAGCAGAGAAACAAAGGTGCCAGTTCCTCCATATCTGCTCAGGACTCGGCCTGCTCACCTGCGACTCCTCTTCTTAGCCCTTCCCACTCTTCTCTGCAGTCTCAGCCTCCCCATCTCTCCTGGGTTTGTCTGTGGTCACGGCTGACCCGTCCCCATCTGCCTCAGGCCGAGACTGCGCTTACGGAGCACCAGCAGCCTCCACGTGCAAATAAAAATGTCTCCTTGGCAGCTCACTCTCATCTCCCGCATCAACACTGCTCACCCTCCTAGAAACAATCTTTCTTAGTTTTATTGACTTTGAAGAAAATTCCTAAAATGGCATCTTCCACCCCATTTCTCCTTCCTTCATAGGCCACACTAGCTTTACCCCAACACCCGAAGTAACCTTATCCACCCCTTACCAGGCTTTTCATATGGTTCCACCCATGTGCTCTTAGCTTCCTAACTTGTATTTCCAGTGTAGGCTTGTCTTCTGAGTTCTAAGCATAAAGCGCGTCCCGCTAGGCATCTCCATTTGGATATGCTGTTCGCACTGAGAACTGATCACGTCTTAACTGCCTGTGATCACCCCGCACTCCCAGCACTTGGACCTGTACATCCACATGTAGATGTAGACACATGTGTGCACACTTACACACATATGTTCACACACACAAACAGGCGTGCACACACATAGCTGATCTTCCTCCAAATTTCCCCATGTCAGTTACTGTACATCCACCCCCCATTTGCTCCTGCTAGGAACGTGGAGTTCACCTTGACAAGCCCCTTTCCCCGCCCCACATTCACCCATCACCCAGGCCTTTGGATCTATTCCCCAGATGTTTTGAATGCATCCACTCTTCCCCCTCTTGGCTGCGACCAGCTTTGTCCAAGCCACATGGTCCCCTGCTGGGACTTCTGCAACAGCCTCTTAAGTGACCTCTCACTTCTTTCTTCTTTTGCTCTTGTGCTTATCGATACTTCCCGTACAACCAGAATGAGCTTGTTCACACGTAACTCTGATCTGTCACTAAGGCAGCATGATCTGAAAAAGTGACAAAGCTAAAACCTCAAAGGTGAACAAGGGAGAGCACCAGGAGAGTAACAGAGAAGGTAGTGCTCCACTCAGGACAGAGCAAGTGCAAAGGCCTGAGGCGTAACAGCGGGGAGCACTGAAGAAGGCCAACGGGACTGAAGTGAAGCAGCAAATGCTAAGAAATGGTGATGGAGGCCAGCAAAGGCTGGCCCACGCAGGGCCTTATAAGTAATGAAATGGGTACTTTCACAATTATTTATAATTTGACATATATACATATATATATATATTATATATATATAGTGTACAACATATATTATTCTCTCTCTCTCTCTCTCTCTCTCTCTCTCTCTCTCTCTCTCGCCTACTGGGCCGTAAAGCGCCCACAGAGAGGCTTCCATGCCTGTGTTGTTCAGTTTATTCCCAGTCCAGTGTAGTGCCTGCCACGTAGTAGATGCTGAACCTCTGCATCTACTGAGAGAAGAAATATCCCCAGCATTCTAGCCAAGCCAGTGGCGGCAACTGCCCAGATACGATGTGCCAGCCCCTCTTCTAAGACCCTCATTTGTATCTACCTCCGTGATCCATTCTCAACCAAGGGGCCATTCTGCCTCCAGGGACACTTGTTAATAACTGAGACATTTGTTATTGTCACAATTTAGGGGAGATAGTTTACTGGCATTTGGTGGTTAGAGGCCAGGGATACTGCTAAGCACTCTATAGTGGACAGGATAGCTGCCACCGCCCAACAGACGATTGTTCAGCCTAAACATCAGTAACGCTGAGTGGAGAAAGCCTGGCCTCCCCAGTTCCGCCTGCCCTCCAAGCCTGTGTGAACACTATCGTTTTTCTCATTGACCAGCATGAGGTTCCCTCTGCTCCGCTCCTCAAACCTGCTTCATGGGACACAGCCCTCCGCCTTGCCATCGCCGGTCTCACCCGCCTCTCCCTGGGTGTGTTTCATCAGGTGCCAACACAGGGGGCCACCCCTGCATTTCCTTAAATTAGGGCAGCCCCGTAGCCAGCAATGAGTAAGAGGGTGCAGACACATTTTGTATAACATTGTAAAACACAGAATTGACAGACCTGGGTCTGCAGGGCTCGGCCAGCCCCCAGCTCTGCCTGTGGGTAGCCCCCTGTCTCTAAGTGTCTGCGCCAGGGTGTCACCCACAGAAATGGCGGTTTCCTGTTGGCCCAGCCTAATAACAGGGTTCACGCCATTAGTCACTGCCTCAGATGTTCAGCTGTTCTAGTTCGATCCCGCGGAAATGCGACTAGAACCAGGGCGTAGGAGGGCTCCTACCATGAGAGAAACAGAGCCAAAGCTGCATGTGCAATTGTCTCTCCTGAGAGCCGGGCCTGCTTGGTCCGCCAGCACAAACAGAAGCCCCTGCCCAGCCTGCGGCCTCGGAGCCCAGCCGCCATCAGAAGCATCTGCTGCTGCTCGGCTCTGGAGTCAGGTGTGAAATGGGCTGTGCCTGCCCGGAGGGCACCTCCCCTCCTCTTCCCAGGGCCTCGCAGCTCTCTGCTCAGCTGGCTGCCCGCTTTGCCCTCGCCCTCTCTCCTCTGATCCTGCTGGTGCGACCCGCACCTGAGCCACAGGAGGGGAGGCAGGGCGGGCACGGCACATGCTCACTGCTCCTGCCGCTGCCACGGATGCGCCCTGCATGGGCCTGGGGCTCTGCTGTCCCAAGGGCTCTGCTCTTCCTCCTGCTCTTGGCCCGGCACCGCCTTCTCTCCAGCATCTTCTCAAAGAAAACCTGGCGGCTGAAGCCCTGGTGGATGCCGGGTCGGGGATGTGGAGGAGGCCGGCAGAGGCCACACAGCACAGCCCACGGGTGGTGGGGACCAGCCAGTCAGGGTACCGGGCACCCGGGGCTGCTCTCCAAGGCCCCAGCAGTGCCGCGCTGCGCCCACTCTCGGGACGGCTGTTCTTGCTGCTCCCTGGCCCCCGTGGGTTGGGGCTGGGAGCCATCTCGAAGGAGGACCGGCCACTGCTGCCCCTTGATGAACTTGGCTTCCTGAACGCGGGGCTCCCGCTGACAGGCTCGAAGCCGCCTTGGTCCCCCAGGCCACACTTTGCACGGGGCGCACGTGGGTATAGGGCGCTCCCACTCGCTGGGCCGAGTCGTAGCACCTCACAAGCAGGAGGAGTAAGCCTGATGCTGGGGGCAGGACTGGGAGGACGAGGAGCTGCACCAGCTCAGAACCCGGGCCCTGGAGGCTGAAGAGGTATCCTGGTCCTGCCAGTGGGGACGGGCGGCCCCACGGAGGGGGCTCCTCCCTCTTCACAGCATCTGAGGGCTGGGAGTTCTTCCCCAGGTCCCAGCCAGGGCCCCCCAACAGGACTCTGACAGGTGCTGGCTCCAGGGATCCCTGTCCACTTCCCCATGAATAATACCAACACTGACCTCATGGGGCCATAACGGGAACCAAATACTGTACAGACAGATGTTTGCATAAGTTATGGATACCACGATAAAGATCAAATAATATATGAATGTAGTCACCAAAAATGAGCAAGCCCTAAAAGGCCATCAACTAGTGAAGAGAGAAATGCGGTGCACACATACATGCCCCTCATTCACTGATATGAAGGGATGAGCTACTGAGACCTGCAAACATCACGGAGCCCCTGCTGCGCGCTGCTCAGCGAAAGCCCAGCGTGAAGGCCACGGACTCACGGTTCCGTGGAGATGCTTCTACAGAAGGTAAAGCTACAGGAGGAGGACAGGCCGGGCTGCGGCGGCTGGGCAGCAGAGAGCGGACCACGAAGGGGCACAGGGAGCTCTCGGGGTGATGGACATGTTCTGTATCATGACGTGGTAGTGGTTACACAACTGGGTATGAGTCAGCATTCTTCCAATTGTATACCTAAAATTGGTCTGGTGGCAGGAGCGGCCGGGGAGAGGTCACTGGGGGGAAAAGGAGACATATGTAATACTGTCAACAACAAAGAATTTAAATTTTAAAAAATGGTCAGGTTTGCGCGTGAAAATTACAGCTCGATGAAGCCAGTGTACAAAGCCGGCCATGGGAAGCGCTTCGCCAGGCCATCGAGCCCCACTGCCCCTTCGGCGTTGGTGCCGAGTTTCCATCTTATCCCGGGAAGCTTGCCTTTTCCCTCAGCACTCACTGTCTTCCCATCACCGTGGACGTGTCTGTGGTTTTGAAGTTATTGTTGTTGACAGTAGTACAGATGCCCCCTCCAGCCCTCTTCTCCTCCCCCCCAGGCCTTCGCCACACTATTGTGTGTCCATGGGCTGAACATACATGCATATATGCCCTTTGGTTAATCTCTTCCCCTCCCCCCTCCGCCCCTTTGAGATCTGTCAGTCTGTTCCATGCATCCATGCCGCTGGTCCTATGTTTTTGTTCATCAGATTCCATGTATGAGTGAGATCATGTGACAGTTGTCTTTCTCTAACTGGCTTATTTCGCTTAGCAGAGTAGTCTCCAGATCCACATTTTTAACTCTTTTAATACTCAAACACCTCTAAGAAATTGCTTGTTAGAGTCCCACCTGACAGATTAGAAAATTGAGGTACAGAGCATTTATTTTTATCTATTTATTTCATTTTATTGAAATTAATGAGGTGACATTGGTTCACAAAACCATACAGGTTTCAACTACACAACTCAGTAAAACCTCATCTGCACCGGCACATGTGCCCGTCCCCCCAAGCAGTCTCTTTCCATCCCATCCCATCCCCTTGCCAACCTCCGCCCCCACCCCCTCTCCCTCTGGCTGTCACCACACTGTTACTGTTGTCTGTGTCTATGTGAGATATAGACAGACTGAGGCCAATGCTGTGATGCACGAGTATATATGTGATTTTTGGCTTAAGCCCTTCAAGGCAGAGGGCATTTCCTGACTGGTGGTGCCAGAGCTGTGCTGTGCCAGGCACTGTGCCTGGGAGCCTGCGTGTTACCCTCGGGTGCTGCCATCTCACAGTGGTCTGCAAATTGACATTCTAGATGAACTTTAATCAATTTATTATAAAGGAATTTTTATATCCCTGCTGAAACCACTGGATTGACATGCCAACTATTTTTAATGCACATTAAAACATAATCAGGGACCCCATGAGGCTTGCAACCAGGGCAGCAATGGGCAGTGGCAACCCCCCTGAACCTGTCCCCAAGGCCGCCTTTCCTCTGACTCCTTAGTGAGCCAAAGCAGCCAGCCAGGCTCACCTCCCCACCTAGTCCCTCTCCTGTTATCCTAGGCCCTTCCTTATTTTACTGTCCTGAGCTTTAATAAACGTTTTCTAAAATTAAAAAACAAAACAAAAACACAGTGATTGACATTTTACATCTTCATCCTCATATATCCTAAAATCACCTCATGTACTCACAGCATTGTCCTCAGTCGTACCCATCATCCATTTTTATGGCCAATACAACAATCTATGGCCAATACAACAGTCTATGGCCAATACAACAATCTATGGCCAATACAACAATCTATGGCCAATACAACAGTCTATGGCCAATACAACAATCTATGGCCAATACAACAGTCTATAGCCAATACAACAATCTATGGCCAATACAACAGTCTATGGCCAATACAACAGTCTATGGCCAATACAACAATCTATGGCCAATACAACAATCTATGGCCAATAAAACACTTGGGTAGCAGCTCCAAGGTGACCTTGTGCCCAGCATTCCCCCTCTAGGATCTCCCTTCCAGAGAACACACCTGGCTCAATCTCCAGCTGTTTTTGAGTCAGCCAGCACACTTCCACACTCTCCTCCGTGGACCCTGGGCTGGCCAAGGTGAGGGTGGCCCCATCTGTCAGTGACTGTTGTCCGCTGTGGTCCATCAGGCGGCGTTTCATGACTTGACAGCAGGTCCAGGGTGTCCGGTGTTCCAGTGGGTTGTTGGGAGTTAGCTTGGGCTGTGTTAAGCCCTCCACGGGCCCCAGCCTGAGTGGTCCCTGGGACTCCAGGGGTCACTAGGATCCTGGCTTTATTCCGTGACCTCATGAGTGACATTGGTTGGTTCTGTGAACCATGGCAGAGCAGAGACCCAGCGAGGATTCCAGGAGAGGCTTCTCACCGGGATCGCATTCCATGCAAACTCATGACACACAGCACGCAAAGGCACAAACACATGCACATACCTGCATGGCAGATATAAACACACATACTCACACCAACACACACATGCGTATCAGACACACACTCTCACACAAACATACACACACATTCACTCAGCCACTCTTGTTCACATGTGTGTGTGCACAAATTCCCACCCCATTCTCGTTAGGCCTCCTGGCCCCCTGTGGCCTGGTCCCAGGCCCTCTCAGGTCTCCTCCCTGGACGTTCACCCTCACTCGGCTCCCAGGACTCAAACACACCAGGCATGCTCCCACCTGGGGCTGTGCGCTGGTCTTCCTTCTGCCAGGAGACCCTCCCGAGGCCCCTGTGGTCACTCTCTCACTCCACTCTCTATGAAACAGCACTTCATCGGAGCAGCCTGCCTGGACACCCCCGAGGCCCCCGAGGGCCCCCTCTCCATCTGTCACCCTGCCCTGCTTTGCTTCTCATGGTGTTTGTCGCCCCAGATGTGGGTATCTGCATAATGGCTATCAATGCAGCCTCCACATGGAGACTTCATTCGTCTTTTCAGTTACACCCCTGACATCTAGAATAACATGTGACACATGAACAATCACCCTAGAAATAATTGTCAAATAAGTAAACAAATAAATGGCCACTTTGGCTGCTGACAAGGGCTCCCCCGGTGGTGGCACTGCCTCCTCCGGGCCCCATAGACTCTGCAGCCAGTGGGCTGGCTCTCGCCCATGGCTCTGAGAGTCCCCTCCCGTTTTTCCACCTGCACAAACCTCACTCCCGACACTTCCCTCGAGCACACCGTCCCACCTGCCACCTCTCTCTCCTCCGGGATGTCCTAGTGATGAAACAGTTCAAAAAGGTGATGGACTAGGAGTTTTTCCAAAAGTCACCCAGAGCCACCCCACAGCCAACACCCAGGCATCTACTCCTCTCCAGAACCAGAGGCTGCTGTGCGCAGACAAAGTCACAGGCTTACAGACCAACGAAGCCACACTTGTCCCAACAAAGACAGGGTGTCCTTGTGGAAGAGAAAATACTGTAAATGTGTTTTCTTCCCAAATCAATCCAGAGACCTGCTTTATAAAAACAAGAGGTACCAGAACAAAAACAAATAGATCACTGGGAGATAAAGGTAGCTTGGAAAAAGGTCACATTTCATAGTCGAGTTTTTAAGGGACAAAGTAAATAACAAAAGACTCAGTATATGACAGTGAAAATCGTATTCACCACTTTTTAAATCAACTTTGGTCTTACCTCAGGTGAAACAACTAGGAATATTTTTATATAGTTTGGGAGTTTGTTTTAATTAAAAATGTTTACAGCCAGGCCAGTGTGGCTCAGTAGTTGAGTAATGACCCATGAACCAAGAGGTCACCATTTGGATTCTCCATCAGGGCACATGCCCGGGGTTGCAGGCTCGATCCCAGTAGGGGGTGTGCAGGAGGCAGCCGATAGATATTTTTCTCATCAATGTTTCTGTCTCACTATCCCTCTCCCATTCTCTTTCTCTAAAAAACCAATGAAGCATATTTTTAAAATATGTACAAAGATGTGAACAATAATATAAATGCAGCTGCTATCAAATGGAGCCGGAGCTGCCGGGCCAGAGGAACTGCCTTGCGTGTCTTAGGCCTCAAACCGTGGAATGTCACAAACTGGGTGAAATGGCCTCTGAAGTGGCTGAGGACATTGTGTCTCAAAAGCACTGTTTGGAAAGAGGACAAGAGGCAGACATGACTCCGGGACTGGGGACCACTGGGCGAAAAGTTAGAAACTTTG